GGGCAGGGCTGTCCAAACTCGGTCCTGGAGGGCCGGTGTCCTGCAGAGTTTAGCTCCAACCCTAATTAAACACCCCTGAACCAGCTAATCAAGCTCTTACTAGGCATAGAAACTTCCAGTCAGGTGTGTTGAGGCAAATTGGAGCTAAACTCTGCAGGACACCGGCCCTCCAGGACCGAGTTTGGGCACCCCTGCTCTAGAGCGTTACTCAATAGCTCATTTGCATTTCCACATAGGTAGGCCTATAGATTTTTTCACAAGTTTTTTATTTAGATTTATGTTAAGAGATAAAACCATTATTGTAATATTATAAAACGACTATTTGTCAAAGTCTAGCATTTTTTTGTACTGAAATAGCATTTTTTTGCAGTTATGACATGATTACAGTCAAACCTGCATGTGGTGTTATATGTGTGTATTAGTGTGTGTGTTTGCATTTATTCTCCATCATGGATGTGCTGTGGTGCCCCTCCATCTCTAATTCAGCGCATATGTCTGTTCACCTTTCAGAGTGCCGTCAGTCAAATCCATTCCACTTGAGGAATGCCCAAATAAATTAAAATTCACCGTTTTAGCTATATCCTCCACTTGGTTCATTCAGAGTCCATATAAATTAAACTCCATTCCGTATTTTCACTACTCGCGCCTTCTGCACTCCTGCTACACAGCAAGGTAAACAAAGCATCTTAATCTTAGCACATCTGCTGCGGACTGTTCCGGGAAAAGATTCAAAGCTTCGAGTGTGTCGAAAACAAGGCCATCTGGTGGTTATTAAAAAATATAGCAGCCAAAAGCCTGTGAAAGACGCTCTGTCGGACGACGAAGCAGCCACCACACATTCCATAGATCGACTCATGTTACGTGCACAAATAAAAGCCTAACAGTGTGTGCGTTTGTTGAATTTCCCTCTCTGATAAAATAATTTACCCATTAAACTGGGAATTAAATACGAATATCAATATGATTTTATAGAATAATAATGTACAAATTGTACAAATCTAATAACGTTAAAACACTAAAAAATTTTCATAAATGGGTTATGACTTATGTCATTGTCACTAAAACATTGTCACTATAACTGTTTCGGAGTGATTGATTTATTTATTTATTTTTTATTTTTCTTTCCGAATGAGATACCACCTTTATTTTGTGCTGCAGGAGTATTTGGACTCCACTCTGAAGCTGTACCACGCTGAACTTCAGGCTGTGGACTTCATTGGAGCATCTGACGAGTCACGACAGCTCATTAACAAATGGGTGGAAGAGCAGACAGAGAGTGAGAAATTAGTAACATCAAATCAGAATGTGGATGGGAACGTTTATAGGCTAATCACTTTCAGCTTTATTTGCTTTATAGGCTATATGTAAAAGTATATTTAGTATAAGACTGTATAAATTAATGCAAATGATCAGAACACTATAAATAATGAAATGCTGTTTTTGTTTTTGTTTCAGATAAAATTAAAGATCTTCTTCAGCCAGGTGTGGTAAATGGGCTGACCCGACTAGTTCTGGTTAATGCCATCTACTTCAAAGGAAACTGGATGCACGTATTTGAAGCAAGAAACACTAAAGAAATGCCATTTAAAATAAACCAGGTGCAATCTGCATTTTGTTTCAGGGGTGCAACAGCATATGAAAAATTAATATAAAGTTGATGTTGAATTTTTGTATATATTATACATTCCTTAATTTAATGACATTTGTCTTTAATCAGAATGAGAGCCGGCCTGTGGAAATGATGTACCGGGAAGAGACATTCCCTTTCAGATACATCCCAGAGTATAAACTGCAGGTGCTGGAGTTACCATATGAACAGGAGGAGCTCAGCATGTTGATCCTTCTTCCAAACGAAATTCAGGATGGCTCTGACCCACTTCTGAAGGTCAGCAAAAGTGCCGTGAGCAGAAAAAGTGGATAGTTTGAATTCTATGGAATGGTTTTGTGCCGTGTATGTTTTTTTTTCAGCATGTATGTCTGTGTTTAACAGCTGGAGAGCGAGTTGACCCTTGACAGGCTGCTTGACTGGACCAGAAAAGACAAAATGGGCACATGGATGGATATCAGAGTCCATTTGCCAAAGTTCAAGCTGGAGGTTGAGAGCTCCCTATCAGAAATACTGCAAAAGATGGGTATGAGCTCTGTGTTCCAGGAAACAAAGGCTGATCTGACAGGCATGAGCAGTCAGGATGGTCTCTCCATTTCAGCAGTGATCCACAAAGCATTTGTTGAGGTGAATGAGGAAGGCACGGAGGCAGCAGCAGCCACTGCAGGCTTTATATTTCTATGTGCCCGCAGTTCAGAAAGCTTCACAGCAGATCACCCCTTCTTGTTCTTCATCAGGCACAACCCCACTAACAGCATCCTCTTCCTTGGCAGATTCAGAGGCCCATCCTAAAATGTGGGTTTTTCCTGTTTTTAATGAAGAGGGAATTATGTTTTTGTTTTAATATTTTAGCAGACAAAATTATTCACACCATTTGTGTTTGTTTTTGTGTTCACAAATGGCATTATTCCAGATCATTTATTGTAATGTCATTTTAGAGTCATACATTTTGGTTTTGAGCATGACCCTTTCAGTTGTATATTTGTGTCAAATCGTTTTAGGGAAAACTGGCTAAATAAAGACTGGGTATTGTCTTTTACAATCAGTCATATCCTCTTTTATTCACTTTGTGTAGCTGAATCTGTGTAGAGCTGACAGACTCAGAACACAAGTAGTGCAAAAAGAGAGTTCTGTAATGTGTATTTTTATGTTTCAGAAAATATAAACAATGGTCAAATGCTTAGAATAATGTAGATTTTTTTGGTTTCTTATGCTCACCATGGCTGCATTCAGTGTCGCAGGATCTTTCAGAAATCAATTCATGTTTATTTGTATAGTGCTTTCACAATACATATAATTTCAAAGCAGCTATGCAGAACATTTTTCAATTTCAATTTAGAGTAATCTGTTATCCGAGGTGACTGTTCAATTAATGTCCATATGGCAGAAATGTACAGTTCTAGAATGCTACAAATCATGCATTTATAAAAAATTTAATTTCAGGTTGTGTTTTTTTATCATGTATGGCATGCATATATTGCATATATTGTCATTTTACAATCAGTTTAATAAAAATATTGAAAAAAATCATGCATTTATTTAATGTGTATTCATGCAGAAATAATAAAACACGTTTTAAAGCAATGATCAGTGTTTGGGAAAGTTACTTTTAAAAGTAATGCATTACAATATTGCGTTACTCCATAAAAAAGTAACTATTTTTTGTTACTTTTTATGGACAGTAATGCATTACGTTACTTTTGGATTACTTTTTGTCACCTGGGCTGGGCTTGCTTATTTATTTTTAATAACAGAAAAACCAAAAGTTATATTTTTGGCTACTGTAAAGGCCCTTTCCCACCAAGAATGAAATTAATAAGGGTCTTAACAAACTTTCCTTTTGGCATCTTAATTTTATGGCCCTATATGGTTCGGTTCCAGAGATGTTGGAATTTCAATATGGCTCCAAGAGTAAATTGTTAAAATGTACATATTTTCGGTGGTCAAAAACCAAATGTGGGTTAATTTGCAAAAATATGATACTTATTTTCTTTTAAAGAGGAATGTCTGAAGAACAAATAATGTTGAAACTAGACATGTATCTCGTTTACTTCTGTCAAAGCAACTGCATTGAACATACCTGTCTGAGTGCCATAAATATTATTTTTCCAAAGTTTGCATGCCTATAACTCAAGAAGTATTAAAGATATCGCAATATGATTTCAGATTACAGTTCTTAATAAACTTTTCTTTTGGAATCTTCATTTTCAGGCCCTACATCATTCAGTCCCAGAGATTTGGGGATCTCAATGAGGCTCCATTTTCAGATTGTTGAATATTACCTATATTTAGTGGCTGAAAAGTAAATGTTGGTCACTTTGTATACAGCTGATACTTAGTGTATTTAAAGCAGGATGCCTGAAGAATAAGTAATGTTGAAACTAGAAATGCACCTTGTCTATCCTCTATCTTTCCCTCTATCAAAACAATATGCACAGAACATACCTGTCGGAGTGCTAAAAATGCACTGAAATGGTCACGTTGAGGGACATTACCTTTCTCTCCGTAGCATATTCATAAGATTCTATATTTGAATCAGTTTCAGGGATATTTGGAAGAAGGGATTTAGTTCATTTTAACAGCCTCTAAAGCTACCAAGAGTTCAAACACACAGTATTGTAACATGTTTGAATCAAATCCCACACCTCATAGGAAAAAGTGGTTGCTTTGTCAGCAGTGATGACTAGATAAACACAAAACCACATTTGGAATGAAAATCACACACACACACACACTCACACACACTCACACACACTTTGGAAAAAGAATATTTATGACACTCAAACAGGTTGTCACAAGTTCACCAGCTCAGTTACCTTACTTCATTAAGGACTCCATCCTTAATAGATCCCTTTCTGATCATTTGTATTCCAGCACTCATTGATACAGCTCATGCAGTAACTATATCCGCACGGAATAATCACGGGATCCCTCAACAACTCCAAACATATTGAGCAGCTGTACTGGTCGTGATCTCCGAGTATAGCCTCTGCCATGTCTGCTAAACCCTACTTGTGTTAGAAAATAACCATGTATGTAAGTGAATGTGGAAGTGTGAGAGTGAAAGTTAAAGCAAGGAATCATAATACACAAATACAGTGCTAAATATGTAAGAGCTTGTGTGATTTGGGAAAGTAAAAAATACAGTGTTTTGTATTTTCCTCATAACAGAGACCGTTGTGCTTTAAGTAATAGTCGTAGATCTTTGAATTTTGATCTTTAGGGTTTTTCTATATCAACATTAGATGGCGACACCTAGCAAAGTCTTCCCGACAGAAACACTCTTGCAGCCACAAAGGTTGGTGGGAAATGTAGTTTTGTCATACATGAAAATCAGCAGTGCTAATTTGCTAATTAAACTAATTTATTATCTGTAATAATAATTAGCTTGTCATGATTCTTTAATTGACGCAACCTCAGCTAGGAAGAAATATACAAAAACAACAAAAACCTAGCCACAGATACTTGTAGACCAGCATGTATGAAAATACATATTAGCTTTAGCCACAATGGTTGAATATCAGAGCGGTTTATTTAATTCAATCAAAAGACAAAAAATATAAATTTAACAGCAAAATGTGCATTTGTGTGTATTGTATTTTGACAGGACATTTGCAATTTATTATTATTAAATTTAGAATGAATTATTTTAGATTTTTTATTAAAGTGAGACTGAAACATAATTCGGAGTATGTGCTCTTTCCCAGAGCTAAAACAGATTTCAGTTGATAAAAATCAGTGTCTACGTAAAAACATTCTTTCTAACTGCAACAACCTTGCTAGCAAATCAATTACAAAATATTGATAATATGTCAAATTGAATGGTTTGCTATTGCAAATGAATTTGAAACACCTGAATTAATGAACCTTTTATATAAGCTTCTGTCTAACAAAATAACTCTCCTGTGATGTGAAGGACACCAGTATGAAAACTGTAGAGTGAATCCATAAGTGTATGTCATTTTCCATGTTCACATGACTACAAATAAAAACATAGGCAAGTTTCAGTGATCAGAATTCATTCACAAAAGCAAAAGTTAAACAGAGACGTCCACAGTCACATCCTCACAATCTAGGAGGATCCTGAAATGTCAGAGTCTGTAGAAAAACAGAAAGGCTTAAGATTTTGATTGCATGTTGGTGGCAAACAAAATCTAATTCAGGAAAAAAACAAACATCTTTAAGTAACTGACCCGAGTAGTTTACCAACTCCATCTCGGAGAGAATGCCTTTCCAGCTTTTGTGGTTAGGAAAATCCACAATCACATCCTCAGATTTGATATCTAGACAGATGAGCGGACAATCACTTAAAATTATTTCCAACAGCAACTCTATGCATACAAATTGTAAATATACTGTGTACAATAAAATATATTCAAATAGAAAAGTAATTTTAAATTGTAAAAATATTTCACAATATTACTGTATTTACTGTATTTTTGATCAAATAAATGCAGCTTGGTGAGCATAAGATAATCTTTTTATAATTATAAAAATATCTTTTAATTATTCCAAACTTTCGGCTGCCAGTGTATATGATAAATATATTAAAGTAGTTGATGTCTCCTCAAGTCTGTTCTTTGAGAAAAATACACAGATCTTGCCTTTTACAACACCAACACTCTTGTGTGTGACATGTCCACCCCAGTTATGTTTTGGAGTAATTATGGAAGATTTCACTCTGACTCTGTCTCCAACCTTAATGTCGACTGAAACATTTTTTGTTAACAAATATGAAAATGAAGATAATACAGAAAGCATTTTCACTTACAAAGTGCAAACAGATAAAAAAAAATGCATAGGGAAATTACCTAAATCAGTACTGGTCACAAGCTCCATTTCTGAAACTAAACCAGTCCATTTTTTATGCTCAGGAAAATCCACAATCAAAGACTCATCCTGAATTTCTGCAAAAATAATTAAATAAAACTTGTTTTTTTTTTGTTGGTAAATATATGTCCTTTTTCTCACTCGGTGGCACACAGTAAGCCTACAAAAAACTTGCATCATCGTTTCATTTATTCTGGTAAAAAGCACAATGCATGAAGATAGCATGCCTAATATTAGTAATGAAATCATTGTCAGTCAGTGCTCTCACTTTGAACAACACCAATGCTTTTGTGAGTGACTGCTCCCCATTTGTGCGTTGGTGTAACAACAGACATCTTCACACAAACTTGGTCGCCAATCTTAATAACGGACTCCAGACTTGAAGATCCTGAAATGCAAGGAGCGTCACGAACGTCTGAGAGGAGCTTTCTGCTGAATAGCTGCTACTTAAATGTCATGGAAATACTGTAATTACCAAAATCATCATTATTGGTTACTATATCCATTTCAGAGAGAATTCCCTTCCAATTTGCATGTTCAGGAAAATCAAAAATCAGACTGTCATCACATTTAATGCCTAAACAGAGAACAAGTTCATATTTGAAGGCTTGTACTTGAGTACGGATTGCTTGTGATAACAGATAATTTATTTGAGGAAAAACTAATCTTGCCTTTTACCACACCCACACTCTTATGTGTGACATCAGCACCCCAGTTAGGTTTCGGGGTGGTAATGGAAAATTTCACTCTGACTTTGTCACCAACCTTAATGTCAATTGGAGCATTTATTGTTGACAAATCTGAAACAAGTAAAATATTACAGTAGGCACTTTCACATTTGTGACCCTGGACCACAAAACCAGTCATAAGGGTAAAATTTTTTCGAAATTGAGATTTATACATCATCTGAAAGCTGAATAAATAAGCTTTCCATTGATGTATGGTTTATTAGGACAGTCATAAGGGTTACATTACATTATCTCAAAGCTGAATAAATAAGCTTTCCATTGATGCATGGTTTGTTAGGATAGGACAATGTTTGGCCGAGATACAACTATTTGAAAATCTGGAATCTGAGGGTGCAAAAAAAATCTAAATATTGAAAAAAATCGCCTTTAAAGTTGTCCAAATGAAGTTCAATAGTTCAATAATTTTGATCCATACAATGTATTTTTGGCTATTGCTACAAATATACCCCAGCGACTTAAGACTGGTTTTGTGCTCCAGGGTCACATTTAAGTGCACACACAACATTTAAGCTGCAGCTAAGAAA